TTACTTATTATATTAATTAAATAATAATTTTATATTTTTATTATATCATATAATAATTATTATTAAAATTAATAATTATATTTTACACTAAATGATATATGAAAGTTACATAAACATAAAAAATTATATTGTAAAAACTTTGTGTTCAAATGATTTATTCTAAAATCAATATTATATTTTTTATTTCATTAAGCAATTGTTATTCATATAAATTAATTTATCTTAATGTCATAGTAAAATTTCTTAAAACCACATAAGAAATTTTTATAATAAGCTTAATATTTTTCAGCTAATTAATTGGTCATGCTCCCTCAGAACTGCAAAATACATTATTTATTAAATTTTATGTAATCAATATAGTGATTCATCTGCAATGAAATTATAATCACTATTTATTTTAACCAATGATCAAATTTTAAAACATAATGTCAGATTTAACTTATACTTTTAATATTTTATGCACATATATATATATATATATATATATATATATATATATATATATATAATGCTCTGTGTTTGAAATTTAATATCATTATCTAACTTATAATTTTAATATATATGCATACAAATAACTTATAATACTTTATTTATATTTGTGTAAATGGACATAGTCAAATGGTAGTAATAATAATAATACAAGACTGAGAAATAACAAATAAGATCAGCTGAAAATATTTAGGGTTGACTCATAAATAAATGGAGTTTGACATATTATAATTAGCCTAATCATGACTCTTTCAGTTTGTTATACTATTTCAACTAAAAATGTATATGAATATTATTTAAATGTTTAATTTTATTGATGTTGTTTATAAAGTATGACATGACATTTTTGCTGAGTTTATGAACTACTCGTTAAGTTCGTCTAACTAGAGTGCAAACTGCAAACGACTGGAGCGGTCTGCGAGTGATCGAATCGAGCTCGAGCATGTAGTTTGTATACACACAGTCACTCGATCAGCTGCTCGGTTGTATTTAAAATGGCCTAAATATTTCTCATTACACATTTTTCAATTAAAATTAAGCTGAACTTGAGCAAAATTCGAGCAGATCACATTAGAACTAATCTTGAGAGCTTGTACTGTTTTGTTGTCGAGTCAAGTTGAGCCGAGCCTCAAGCAAGGCATGCTCGTCAAGTATCTGCAAAATATGAAGCATTGCTCTATTGGGAAAATGCTCGACTTAGGTACGCTCGTATGCAACCTAAAGTCTAACCAAACCTTTGTTATGAAGCGTATTAATTGGACAATTAAATTTGTGTAAGAAAAATTGATTTTGTACCGATTTTACGGTTCCATTTTTTATAAGTAGAAGACTTAGAAAATTCTCAAAACCATGTTAAGGTGAATGAAAAATTAATTCTAAGCTGTATATATGGGAAATGTAAGGTTGAAACAATGAGTTTAAGTAACTCAAATTATTGAATTGTAAAATATTGTCTTTGAAGAATGCTTATATAATCCAAATTCCAAACGAGACCTGATCATGCAGCTTGCATGATTTAACTCTAGAAGGGTTCGTTGGGGACGAGTAGGAAAAAACAAAACTCGATTATGAGTCCGTATGAGCTCGTACAAGCCCGCGGCGCACGGGCGCGCAGCTGGCTGCGGAAACCGAAAGGTCACAACCTTTGGTGACTTTAAAGTGTCTTTTAGCCTCTTAATGCATCCATTCTCATTTGAGTATGTCTCAAAAGGTGTCTTTTGACATTTAAACCTCTTTGAGGTATTTTCCTACATCTAATAATAACCACATACTTGAAATCATTCATAACTTGAAAAATGAAGAGCTCTTGCATTACTTTTCAAAGATCATATAGCATATTGTGTTCTTTGACTTTTTCATTGAGTCTTGAGAGTTCCAAACATTAGTATTGTTCACCGAAGGCTTATATATTTGAAGTACCACTATATACAAGTTGAAAGTTGTTGTATCTTGGAGGCGTTTGACGTTAACCGTAGGGATTTTACGAGGCAATTTCGTCTTAAGGATGGCGTAATTATTACGTGCATCGACTTTGATTTTGTTTTGTTTTTTCATTCTCCTTAAATTTGCCTTTTTAATATTCACAAACCACACAAATTACAATTTTGAAACAAACAAAAATACCTACTAATTAGGAAAAAATATACATCATAATATCGCATTTTGAAACAAAATTCATATGGTGTGCTGCTTCTTTTATTTTTATTTTATTTATTTATTTCTGTAACAATGTGTAAATAATGTATTGTGGCAAATCAGTGGCACAAAATTGGCATGTCAATTGACCATTGCCAAAAAGAGTTTCGCTCACCTGCCCACGGTGGGCAGTGTCCACCACTTTATTTTATATGAAAAACGTATTCTGAGAATACGTTTTTCAATTAAAATTAATTGAATAATGTATTCTCATAATACGTTTTTCATATAAAATAAAGTGGTGGGCACTGTCCACTGTGGGTAGGGGATCAAAATTTTTGACAAAAAATTGTCTTTTCAACATTTGGGTTACCATGTACTAGCCCAAACCATAGCTAGCTGCTTGGCGATCTGTGTGGATTTTCTTATAGGTCCAAGAATAGTGGGCCCAGTACGGATTGGAGATAAGGTAAGATACGGGCCCTCCCCATAAAATGTAGATGACGATCAAATTATTGGGTCATTAGGGCCACCATCAATTGATGCATGTGTATGTGGGTAAAGGTCCACAGATTGTGACATAAGTATACCGGAAATATTATATTATTTTAGTGTGAATTGATCCTTTCTTTTTCTTTTCCATTTCTTTGGTTTATTCTTTTAACCACTGTCACTGTGTCACACCGTATATAAAATGAAATTTGACAATATATAAGATTTTAAAAATAAAACTATATATACCAGTCTTAGGTCTTAGGGGTTTACAACAGCTATATGAGATGGATTATGATATAACCGTGACTATTAGTGGACAATATAACTGAATTCACCTTACAATTGATAGCTTAAGAGAGCTTAGCTAAATTTAAAGCTTATAGTTGATAGCTTACACTATGTTTGATAATCAAATAAGCTGGCTTATAGCTTATTTTGTAGTTTATAAGTCATTCTGTATTCAAATATAAGATTCGTTGAAATTTTTAGTTCAACTAGCTTAACAGCTAACTCTACTAAGCATTTTATCACATAAGGTAGCTTTTCAACTATAAACAATAAACTATAAGATTATAAGCTTCGAAAATCACTTTAAAGCTATAAACTAGCTTATCAGTTAATTTAACTACACATAGCCTAAGAGTACATTCGGTAAGCACAATCAACTGACTTATCAACTAGTTTTATCAAACACCTTTGTTATTTCAGTTAGCTTTCAGTCATATGCTATAGCTACAAGCTTGATTAACTTTTGAGTTATTCATTAACTTGTCAGGTATAAGCTGGTCTATTCAGCTAAATTTACCAAACATATCATATAACTAGATTTACCAAGTATAAGATAAAAGTTCTGAAAGTAAGCATAATAAGCTAGCTAATAGTTTATGTAATTACTAATAATCTTATTATATTCTAATTAAACCTAATTTTATTGTATGGACTTTTTTTTAGAGATTTTAAGTTTATCTCATAAGCCCATCTCTAATACTTTTTAAATAAGCATTTTTTTTTTTTTTTTGATTCACTTATAAATTAATTTTATCAAATATTTATTAATATTATTAGTTTGTTTAGTCATAACTAATAATAAGTAACTCATAAATTTACCAATCCTACCAAACTTGTGATACAAGCACTTTTAAAATACAACAAATGCCATTATTGCCATTTTAAAGAAAATACACCAAATAAAAAAAAATAAAAAAATATCCAAAATTCGTTATTGCAAATTTTGCAAGTAGCAACACAGGCGGGACTAATGTCTGTCAGGGGAAGGGGCCACGCGCCACCGCCTACCGCCAACGTTCACGGCTGCGACCGGCTCTACCGTGCACTCACCGACTGCCACCGCCGGATCCCGCCGGGCCTATCCCGCGAGGCGGCGTGCCGCCACCTCAACCGATCCCTCGCCGAGTGCCTGGTGGCCGCCGCCTGCCCCGAGGAGTCCGACGCTGTCCGCACCCTCTGCTCCAGCGGCGGCACCGCCCTAAAGCGTCGCCAGTGCCAGCAAGCGCAGCTCGCCCTCTCGGCCTGCCTATCCGATCACCAAACGGAATCCTGAAATTTGGGCGGTGGCGATTTTCCATCTTCGCGGATATTTTCTTGATCTAGGTTTCCGGCAAGAAAAGATCGTCCGTTTGATTAGTTTGGTTTTGTTGTTTGTTTAGTAAGTTTTAAACATTGTAAAAAAACTAGGATGCCCTGTTTATGAAAATTGGGAAAGGACTAAAATTGTTCCCAATTTTCTGCAAACTTTTGTTGTCTGATTTTGTGTTGTGTTTTTTCATAAATAGAACGACAAAAGATGTCATTTTTTAACATGTTTTATAGAAGATTCGTAATCACTGTAAGCATAGATCAAGAAAATCCACAGCTTGCTCTGGACTGGAAATAAATCACATTCACCACTTTCTTATTCTCCTTTCATTCCGGAGTATAATATGTGATATTTTACAAGAAGCAAAAGATAACATTATAAACATGATATACAAAGAAGAAGCAAAAGATAACAAGAAAGGACTATAAGAGTAGTATGCTGATTAAAGTTTTAATACAACTTCTTTGTTGGGATTTGGGAAGAGGAATATGCTGACCTAAATACTCCGGCTTAGAGTGATTTTTCAATCCCCGTTAAGTCGGGGAGCTTGAATGTTAGCTGGTGAACAATGATTTGCTTCATGAATTTCTGATGACACCAAAAATCAACTCAGACTAGACTAGTTGCTTATCACTCGCATCCTCTTTATGAGATGAAGAACCTGAGAATTTTTGAATAAATTATATGCTTCAATTTCAGGGGACAGTAGTTAAACAGCTATTAAAAAACCCGAATTTTATGGTTGCATGAAATCGGAAGCAAGAAAATAATACTAATAACTAACCTTTTTCTTTCGTCATCTTCCTAGACATATCTGAAACAAGCGCATAGTTGTTACTGTCATAACACGCACTCATAAAAGCTGCGAGTGTCACACGATCCACTGCGTGGTTTGCGTCTAACAATTTATCAAAAAACTGGGCCGCCATTTCTACTTTCTGCTCACTGCAAAGCTTCCGGATTAAGGTTCTAACTGTACGAATCCATAGCTTCTTATCTAACCTATCCAGGAGGACCATTGCAGTCAAAGATTTACCCTTTCGGCAAAACTCATAAGCTATTGTCAGCCGAGTGACTTCAGATGGGGAAATACCCCGGTTCATCATTTCTTCGAAAAACCATTTTGCCTCGTCTAACTTGGATTCCTTACAAAGCCCGCTTATTAGAGCACCGTAAGTAAAACTATCAGGCGTACAGCCATTGTCACGCATCTTATGAAAAAACTTCACAGCCATGTCGACTTTATTATCACGACAGTATCCAGAAATCATAGATGTGTAAGTTTGCGTGGTTGGAGCTAGTCCTGTACCGAGAGCATCGGAAAAAATCTTTTCACATTCTCTGATTTTCTTTTGCCTCGAAAACGATGAGATCAAGGTTGTGTAAGTGTGCATATCCGGCGCAATTCCACTTTTCATCATCTTATTTGTAAGTGCCAAAGCCTGTTTGATATTATCTTGCTTGCAACTCTCGTGTATAAGCACAGTATATGTAAATTTATCGGCACAAATCCCATTCCGAAAGCTCGTTTTCAGCAAACCATAGGCCTCCTTCACCCTTCCTCTTTTACAGAGACTGTCAACAACAACATTATACGTACAAGTGGTAGGGGTTAAACCGTCTTTTTCTATCACGTCCATTAACTCATAAGCTCTATCAAAATCTCCAACCTTAGCATGGCCATCAATAAGAGTAGTATAAGTGTTCAAATTAGGAACTAACCCTTGTTCCTGCATTTTCACCAGTAACATCTCTGCCCGGTTCATCTTCTCCTCCTTGCAGTATCCAGAGATCATGGCCGTATAAGTGTGCACGTTGGGCTTGTAACTTTCGCTCCGAACGAGTTTCAAGAAAAGCCGAAAAGCCTTATCTGTCCAACCTTTCTTACATAGGCCATCGATCAAAGCCGTATGAGTATACACGTTCGGCTTCAACCCAATCCGAACCATCTCTTCCAACACTTCAAACGATTGTTTAATGCTTCCCTTGCTGCTTAACCCATTAATTAAACAAGAAAAATTGATTATGTTCGGCTCGAACCCCATATCAACCATTTTGTTAAATATCCGTAGAGCTCTATCTACAAAACCACTTTTACAGAACACATCAATAATCAAACTACAGGTAGCCCGGTCGACAAGAAAGCCTCTGCTAAACATCGCACCCAACCATCTATCGGCATCCGAGATTCTCCCGAGCCTGCAATACAACACGACCATCGACTCGAAACTATAGGAATCTGGAACCACACCTCTCTCACACATTTCGTCGAACAGATTCTCGGCAATCTCATAACAACCCATGTCGCTCACCACACCCAGCACACAATTCAAAGTGTGAGCAGTTAAAACTAAACCTTGGCTGGGCATCTCGAGAAGCATGTCCACGGCCTCCTTCAACATCCCGATCTCAGCTACATTCCTCACCATACAGCGGAGAACCTCGTGGGCCCGCTCAAAGTTTCCATTTTTAATCAAGCAGGTAGCCGAGACAATGTAAAACCGCATAAAATGCCTGAATTTAGGCGAGCCGACGGCCCAATAGAAGAAACTCATCGCCACCATTGAACCAGCCTCGTCGGCCAGTGAAGCCACCACGGTGATCGCCTGTTCCGTGGTCAGAAAATCGGAATCAATCGGCAGGTTCAACACCGAATTCGAATGGGGTTTATTTCTCGGTTGGTTATTATAATACGAGTCGCAAACCCAAAAGCACACTCGTTTGACGACCGTCGACGACGGCGGGGCCGAGGGGGAGCTGTCGGCGACGGGAAAGTGGCAAAAGGGTCTATAGATGAAGCCATGGAGAAGAGTTCCGAGAGCAACTTTGTGGCGGGAAATGGTACGAAGATGGATGAAGTTGAGGGGCACCATGAAAGGGCTCAGCTTGATTCAGGTCATCAGCTGTGGAATTCAGGCTTTGAGACGCCTGTATTTGTATGCAGTTCAGTGGTCGCCATTAGTTATAGTGGGACGATGAGCATGGCTCATTGGCTCTCTCTATTTATGTTCGACCGAATTTCTGTAAAGCCAAGCTCTTGTCGGCCCAACAATGAAAAGCCCAATAGAGTTCAAACACAAAATTACATTAACTTCAAGTTCTTCGCGAGCGGATTTCAGCAGCCGTAATTTTGTGTTTTGTCTGGAAGATGAAGTGGGTTGTACTGTCACCATTACTTGTGTGGTCTGCTGAGTGCTGACGTAGCACCCACTCCCCCACTAGGCCTTGTGATGCAGAATAAATATAAGTATTTATTATTATTATTATTATTATTATTATTATTATTTAATAATTAGTAGTTGCTTTGGGAATAAACTAAGTTTAGGGTTAGGGCTTTATTTAAAGGGAGTTATGATTTGTTATTGGGGGGTAGAATTTGATGAAAAAAAATAATTGATCGTGTTTTCTTTTGGGAGAGTATCCCGTGTTCTGGAGAGAGTATCTCCTTGTATTTTCCCGTTCGTTCACGCTTTCCACTACATCAGTTGGTATCCAGCGACCGGGTACGTTCCCCGATGCCGCCAATGAGAGGAAACACCAACGATCCTACCATCTACGACCGATTGCAACGGATAGACGATCGGATTCAAGGTATGGATGATCGGGTTGATGAACTTTCTATGGAGATCGAGGAATTACGGGTTGATGTGAGTACCATGATGGAGGAGGTGCGTCGAAATCGCGAAGTGGCTGACCGGGGCACTAGCGAGGGACACCGCAGTGGTCGAGGAGGTCGGGGTTTAGGCGGGGCGCCCCGCCGCCGATCGCCACCACCACCGCCTACCGGTGATGACTCCGACGACACCTTAACCGGGGAGAATCCTTTCGCAGACGGGATCAACAAGCAGGGCAGAGCTCCTGGGTTCGGATTTCACGATGGCGGATTAGGGTTTCACGGGCATGGTGCTGGCGGGTTTGGTTTCGCGCAGGGGTGGCGCGACGGAGCTGCGGGACGTCGCCTGCGGGGTCCATTGCGGGCCGGGGCTGAGCAGGAGGACGACCGGATGTTCCGTCGGGATGGGCCTCAGTCCGACGATGAGGCGTTTGAGGAGGATATCGGCGACTTTCGCCATGGCCGCGGGCCTCAGGCAGCAGCAAATTTCCGACGCGGCGGTTGTTTTGATTACGGTGATGGGGCGGTTGAGAAGTGGCAGCAGCGACGGGATTGGCGAGATGTCGGCTATGGCGATTTGAGCAATGAGCAGATTCGAGCTGTCGTTAATTGGGAAGATGATGATTCTGACCCTTTTTTCAATTTTGGGCCTGCGCAAGAAAGGCCCAATTCCATTTATTGGGACAAGGGGATGAATGGAATTAATCCAGCTTTTGGGGCCTGTGAATTAGCTGCGAAAATTGGGCTCGCTGACGAGGATATTCTTGACTTTTACGATCACAATGACGGGTCAATTTACGACGGTCCGCCTATTTTTGATGAGGAACCTCCGATGCCGAAGACATATTTTCGCAGTAATATGGATGTCGAATGGGACGTCGCAACAATTAAGTCGTTGAATGGGAAGCCATTATTCGGACCCGATTTAGGGCGTGTCTTGGCCAACGATGGTTTTTGGGTACCGCCTACGAGTCTGCATACCTTGTGGTCCGTTTTCCGATTGTGTATCGCAAAGTCTCCCCTCAACGGGAGGGTTGGCCATACTTTTGGATCTGGACGCAACGAACGTGGTCTTATGTTTGTTATTCTTTCGGATGTGTGGGTTATGCGTCTGGAGGCATGTACATGTGCCTTTGCATTAGCTCGTTCCTTGCCCACGCTTATGTTTACCTTCGATGTTGTTGGGCGTTCTTCAAGCTTCGTGTTTGATCGAGGACGAAGAGGGACACACTTCTCCAACAGGAACAGTTCGGATTCGAGGGCGAATCCTGCTCCACCGGGGGAGAATGATGCAGAATAAATATAAGTATTTATTATTATTATTATTATTATTATTATTATTATTATTATTATTATTATTATTTAATAATTAGTAGTTGCTTTGGGAATAAGCTAAGTTTAGGGTTAGGGCTTTATTTAAAGGGAGTTATGATTTGTTATTGGGGGGTAGAATTTGATGAAAAAAAATAATTGATCGTGTTTTCTTTTGGGAGAGTATCCCGTGTTCTGGAGAGAGTATCTCCTTGTATTTTCCCGTTCGTTCACGCTTTCGCTACATCACCTTGTTTCTATAATTCCATTTCTCCAAAGCTTGGTGTAATGTTGGGTTTCATTATTCAATCCCTATAGAGAGAGAAAAAAAAAAAGGATTTCAAAAAATAAATGGACTGAATATGATGAATTTGATCACTTCTTGATCGCGGATTTCATAATCAATCAATTAATTACTGATGCTGACGAGAGTGCGCTAGCATTTCTAGACAAATACGATTGTTGGACAAGCTACGAATCTAGGCTTATGAGAAGTGTTTATTTAAGGAGTCTCCTTCTCTTGTTCCACTCATTTGAATTTGAATAAGAAAAATTATGCATTCGAGATATTTCTCTTCTCTTATTTCTCATTCGTATGCTGCGCTACATCACTTACGACCGTGGATTTCACACTTATTGATCACATTCGATGTCTTTAATTAATTAATGGTAAAATATGAAGACAACTTACCTTGTTCCATGTTTAATTGTCATTGAGATTTTTGTTGTCCCAACTTTAAATGTGGTGGTTGTAAAAAATTTTAGCAAATGAGAATACGGTAGAGATTAACGCCACAATGTTATTTAGAGGGTCAAATGTTGATTCGCGATTGAAGGAAGACCGAAAGAAAAGCACAAAATAACCATGATAACTGCAGAGGATGATGAAGAGTACTAGTCTTGGAATTGGCAGAACCAAAATCAACTACAACCACGATTAATAGATTGTTGAACGCATCACACTATATTATTCCATTAATATAAGTAAGGTAAGCGAATTACGTTGACTTAGCAAGAGACAAGTAGTCAACTTAATTGACATATTTAAGATAAAATATCATTTTTTTTAACTAAAAATATTTAAGTTAATTGATATTTTAAAATTTTGTAAATAAATATGAATTCTTTTATTAGAAATTGTCATACTTTAATAAAAAAATAAAAAATAAAAAAAAATATCACAATTAATAGTATAAATAAATATGCAAGCAATTTTATGTAAAATAAATGAGATATGGGGTCATTTCACATAAAATGATAAAAGAATATAGTGAACTTATATTAAAATGTATATATTCCTTTTCCTATAAAATACACGGAAAATTCTAAGGTTCCGTTACGGAATGGTACCGTCAGTATTTTTTATTATTAGAAACACATAAAGATTATCTTGTGTGAATAATCTATTGTAACCAACACTGAACCATTAGTTCCATAAATACACATATAGAATTATTAATTTTTTGTTTTTATAGAAACTAAAGCCTCAACTTTCAATATTTATACTTTACCTGATGTAGAGGATGTAATCGAAAGGAAATTACTAACACAAGAGCAGATTTCTTTCTCAGAATAATAATACGATGATTGGAAATAACTGTTCAGGAGTGTGGTTACATATAGGAAGAGCCCACTACTCCACAAACTCCTATTTATTTAAATAACTACTCCACTAAATAAAAATAACATAAATGAAAACCATAATAACTTAATAAACTGACAACTAATAAAGATCGGGAAAATAAATAATCTAGACTCGAAGACGGTCATATTTCTGCATGAACGCCAACGCGGCCTCGTCTCCATCATCCTCCCCGGGTTGATGAGGATTCGCCCTCGAATCCGAATGGGCCTCGTCTTCGTCGGAGTTGTCACCCTCGAACGGCACCAAGTGTTTGACGTTAAAAACGTCGGAAGTGCGAATATGCGACGGGAGCTTGAGACGGTAGGCATTGGGATTGATCTTCTCCACAACCTCAACCGGGCCAATTTTGCGAGCAGACAATTTATTATACTCATGAGCAGAAAACCTATCCTTCGTCAAGACAGCCCAAACAAAATCACCTACCTCAAACTCCACGTGGCGACGACGAGTATCAGCATGCCTCTTATAAGAAGCTGTAGTCGCCTCCAAATGCGCCCGGGCCGCCTCGTGTGTGTGCTGCACATCGGCGATGAAATCCGACGCACGCCGATCGCCACTGCTGTCGGACGGCAATGCTACCAAGCCAGACGGCCCACGCGGATGCATGTCGTACACCACCAGAAAAGGAGTGAACCCAGTCGCACGGCTAAGAGCCGAATTATGCGCGAACTCTGCCTGACTCAGGCGTTGGTCCCAACTGCGAATGTTATCTCCCACTAAACATCGAAGCAAGTTCCCCAAGGAACGATTCACCACCTCAGTCTGGCCGTCTGTCTGAGGATGATAGGCACTGCTGAAGTCGAGCCTAGTGTCAGCCATACGCCACAAACTCCTCCACAAATAGCTCAAGAAGCGGGTATCTCGATCAGACACTATTGCCGAAGGCAGGCCATGAAGGCGGTATATCTCCCGAAAAAACAACTGGGCCACATGGACAGCATCAGTGGTCCGTTTACACGGAATGAAGTGTGCCATCTTCGAAAATCTATCCACCACAACAAAAATCGAATCAAAACCCCGCTGAGTACGAGGCAAGCCCAACACAAAGTCCATGCTGATGGCCTGCCATGGCTGCGACGGAATAGGAAGGGGACGGTACAAACCAGCATTCGTGGCAATACCTTTCGATATCTGACAGACACGGCAACGAGACACAAAACGCCCAACATCACGGCGCAAAGAAGGCCAAAAATAAGAGCGACTCACCAACTCGATTGACCGGTCGCGCCCCACATGACCGGTGCCATGAAGATCAGCAATAAGCTTCTGGCGCAAACTGCAGTCCGGAATACACAGACGAACTCCCCGAAATAAAAACCCATCAGTGATAGTGTAATCCTCATAAGGGCCATCCCTCAATCGGGTCAAAATGGGGCCAAAGAAGGAGTCAGTAGAATAGACATCACAAAGAACCTCAAAGCCAATCACCGACATGCGCATCTCAGATAATAATAACACCCGACGGCTCAAAGCATCTGCAACCCTGTTCGAGGCGCCCGATCGGTGTCGAAGGACAAATGTGAACTGCTGAAGGAATGACGTCCACGAAGCATGTCGTGCCGAGATATTGTCCTGCGAGGCAAGATGGCGAAGAGCCTCGTGATCGGTATACAAAACGAACTCCCGATGGAAAAGATAGTGTCGCCAATGTCGCACAGCGCGCACCACGGCATAAAATTCAACATCATACGTACTGTATCGCAGTCGGGAGCCCGACAACTTCTCACTGAAGAAAGACACTGGACGGCCGTCCTGGCTAAGGACAGCACCAATACCCACCTTCGAGGCGTCGCATGATAGCTCAAATGGTCTCGAGAAATACGGTAAAACGAGCACCGGAGCGTGTGTCAACTTGCTCTTAATGAGAGCAAATGCCTCCTCGGCTTCCTCTGTCCAGATAAAAGTTTTCCCCGTGAGACAGCTCGTGATCGGAGCCATGATAGTGCTGAAATGGGAAATGAACCGCCTATAAAATGAAGCCAAGCCATGAAATCTACGTGCCTCGGTGAAAGTAGTAGGCGTAGGCCAAGCACGAACGGCCTCCACTTTGCTGTCATCCACCCGAATCCCAGCTCCGGAGATCACAAAACCCAAAAACAAAACCGAGTCTACCATGAAAAGGCACTTCGTCGGTGCCGTATAAAAAGACTCAGCCCGAAGTATAAGCAAAACCTCCCGAACGTGCTCCAAATGCTCCTCTATGGTGCGGCTATAAATAAGAATGTCGTCGAAATAAACGACGACACATCTGCCAATAAGGTCCCGTAGTGTCTGATTCATAACGCGCATAAAAGTACTCGGTGCATTAGAGAGGCCGAAAGGCATAACTAACCACTCAAAGAGACCTTCCCGGATCTTAAAAGCCGTCTTCCACTCATCCCCCGGGCGAATGCGAATTTGGTGGTACCCACTACGAAGGTCCAATTTGGTAAAGACAGTGGCACCGTGCAACTGATCAAGTAAGTCATCCAAGCGAGGAATAGGAAAACGGTACCGGACAGTAATTTTGTTGATCGCCCGACTGTCCACACACATACGCCACGCTCCATCTTTCTTCGGGACCAACAATGCCGGAACTGCACAAGGACTCAGACTCCGGCGAACAACACCATGCTGGAGGAGCTCCTCCACTTGACGGCGTAGCTCCTCGTGCTCAACCGGACTCATCCGGTAGTGTGGACGGTTTGACAAAGAAGCCCCTGGAATCAAGTCTATCTGATGCTGAATATCACGAAGTGGCGGTAATCCCGAAGCAAGCTCAGACGGGAAAACATCAGTAAACTCGGAAAGTAGAGACTGGATAGCCTCGGGCGGCTCCTGAACACCAGTGGAATCAGTTCCGAATAATAAAAGAACAACAGGTGCTGACCGCATCTCGACCACAAAGGCTGCTCGGGAAAGAAAAAGAACAGTCGAAGAATCCGCCGATGTGGAATGACGTGTAGGACTAGGATGCAATACAATACGAACACCAGCGAAGGTGAAGCTGTAAGTGTTACGTCTGCAGTCAAGAGTAGCAGCCAAGTCATACTGCCAGGGTCGGCCAAGTAATAAGTGGCATGCATCCATGGGCACCACGTCACACCAGACCTGGTCCCGGTATGTAGCCCCAATCGCCAAAGAAATAAGAGCTCGACGGTCAACAGTAATAGCACGGTCACGGTGTATCCATGCCAATTTGTACGGGTGTGGATGGGCTCACTCGAAAGCCCCAATTTTGTCACCGCCTCCTGTGAAATAACATTTTCAGAAGAACCAGGATCAATAATAAAGCGGCATACCTTGTCACCAATGGTACAAGTCGACTCGAAAATCTGATGGCGCTCCACTGGCTCATCAACGGGTGAATGAGGTGTCAAGCAAACCCGTCGAACAACAAGTGCCGAGCCCACGTCCCCGCTATGATGTATTTCACTTAGCCCGGGCTCGACATCAAAAACAGGGGGACCATCATAATCCGCCGGCAACTCCTGTTCCCCACCATCCTCCAAAAATAAACCATGTGATGTTGAACCTCGTGGACAGGTCGACTGACGATGGCCAACCTCGCCACAACCAAAACAACGTGGGCCACCACTCGGACGTGGCCCGGTCGCCGCCGGGGGCGGTCCACCAACGCCCGACTGCCGCTGGGTCTCGGTCCCCGCCAATGGAAAACGGCTGGGTGCCGTTGTTTGGCCCGAACCCCCCAACGACGCAAATCTGCTCGACTGTGGAGGTCCACCGGTCACGGGTCCTGCTCGTGGGAAAGAAGTAAAAGGTGTGCTCGATTTCCGGGCTAATTGCTGCTCTACCAGTCGGGCTCGTTGGTGAGCATCAGAAACGGTTTCTGGCCGTATAAGATTTAACATGTCTTGAATGGCCACTCGCAACCCACTGACATAACGTGAAATCAATTGGGA